CTACAGAGATGGTAAACGCAAGTATACCAAACACATGAAAACAACTGCAAGGAAAGAGCAGAATTTCTATGCTTACAGTCAGCTTCCAAGCGTGTTCCCTTTGCTGAAGGGAGCATGTGCTTAACACATGTGCTGTCTTGGGATTAGGCAACTGACAGTTGTGGGTATTGCAGAATATGCTGACATTCCTGAGCAGCTCTACTGGAAGGGGGTTATATATCCCAGTGGTATCAGGCTGAGAGAAACCCTGGGAATAAGGAAACTGACACATGCAAGTAACTGTTCACTTAAAACAGCAAGCTTCAGACACTTCTAACACAAACCCTCCCCATCCCATCTTTGTAACTCAGCTGGCTATGCCGAGGGGGAGCAAAGGTCATCAATTACAATAAGCCCCCCTCTCCAAGGAGCAAACCAGCTTTTCTGGTCACCAGCTGTAGCAGCTCACCATGAGATGCCCATGATCCCAACAGACCCCCAGGAGTGAAGCAGGATGGAGAAGGGTGCAGTGCTGTGCCTGGGACCCACCCTCTCTGGTCCCACTGCACCAGCAGCTCCCCTGCCAACAACAGCGTTTGAAGATGCCAGGAAAAGGGAGACGTTTTTGTGTGAGAATGCAACACTGGAAGTCCTGACCGCTTCTGACCACTACAGATCCTGCTGCGCTTTCTGCAAGAACCGTCCGTCTCCTGGCCAAACTCCAGTTTGTGTAACTGCATTTACAGGGCAATTATACTTTCTTGAATTGTCCCAGCAGTTTCAATTTGCCACGGTGCTATTCACTTCCTTTCAAGATGCCGGGGAGTATTACAGTGTGCTGACAAGCAGCTGTTACATTTCACCCAAGAAGTGTCTGCATAGCAGTGGCAGGTGAACACCATTCCTGTGTGTGCATTGTGTGGTTGCACATGGTACCAGGACTGGAAAAAGCTTTAGGGTTCCTTGGGGGTGTGCTATGCTACATAAGCAGAGGGTAATAGCTATCATATAGTAGAATAAGTCGCTGTGATGTAGCTGGGATGTTCTGGGTAGGTTTTTTTTAAATTGGATATAATCTGGTAAAAAGCTTTTCCCTTTGGTGGGTGGACAGAGCATCATGAGCTATGATGCTGAAGTGAAGTGAGAACTGTTATAACTTCTAGGCTGTACACTTAACACACAGTAACAGCCACAATATGACTTTTTTCAACAGTTACAAAAATCAACAATACAGACAAGAGAGGCTGATAGCAAATGCGCTATTTGGAAACCACTGTCCAGGCAGATGGCGCTGCTGCACTGGGTGTGCTCCTCACCTGCTTCCCATCTTCAACTCCTCACGCATCCTATGTGACAAAGATCAGACTTTTTTCATTCATTTGTTTGACAAGCCAGGCTTTTATCCTGCTTTTTATCACCTTCTTACCCATGCCTTAAAAAACAAACGAAAGGCAGTCACCCCTCATTCCCTCTACCAAACCACTCAGGAATCCTGTAAGACCAGGATTCTATTCCAGAGAATAAAACCTCTGTTACCTTCACAGTGGGTGACTAGGGTAGTATATTTGTGGGTAGCCTATGAATGCAGCAGCAGAGGAGGATAGTTCAGCTCTAAGGGTGCTATCACTGCGGGATCTCTTCGATCACAACTGACTTCTCTACAGAGAAACCCAGTACTTGAAGCACCCCAGGCTATCTCAGCTAGTTATTTCAGACCATCTTTTACCCCCACACCATTTTCTTGCTAGGCCATGAAATAGAGATGTTCAGTTCCAGCAAAAACCCTCTGACACTTTTAGGCATCTCTGAACAATCTCAAAAACCCAACCAAAACCACCCAAAACCAAACCAAGAAAACATGCTACTTTTAATAAAAAAACCCCAACTGTAAGGGTATTCTCCAGTGCCCTAGCAAGAACGGGAGATTCCAGCTAATAAATGAAAAGATGCTGTCTGACCAAATGACTTATCTGTGTAGTTAGACATCTTAATAAATGAAATCACTGGTAATATTCATGCCACGCCATCAAACAGCAGATACCAGCTTCCCCAGACACACAAAAAAATCCTGCGACATGACTGCTTTGCTATGGAAACAACTTGGTGTTACATACAATATTCATTAGAAGGGTGAGCGCTATTAGAGCTACAAAACTGCACTACAAATAAGCATGCTATTAATAGCATGCTGATACACATATTTACATGAGATTATGTTTTCCTTCTAATTATTTCCTAAGCTAGACTTCAACTATGAAATCTTGGGGGGTTTGTTTAAAATTTTGTCAGGCCTAAGACCTACGAAGCCAAATTTTGTTTGCCTTGTGAAGCACAGGCAATTTTACTTTAAAGAAAACTTTATGCTCACAGACTGCAAACAAACAGCAGAATTAATGACTGAAGCCCAAACATGCCCTGAAACAGTTCTAGTCTTTCTTTTTCTTCAACATCTGACTAATTTTGTCAAAACACTCAACTATTGAAACAGTTTTACCTGTCGGACTGCTGGGGTCAGCCATCCTGAGTAAACTCAGGTACAGCAAAACCTTGGATGTTTTTATTTTTGTAAAATACAGGCCTGACAAACAGACGCCGAGTCCATCTCTGCTGTAACCATGCTCACGTCTCTCCTACCTTCTAGTTTTGCGTTACCGACCTCTTGAATGACATGGGTAATGCATGGCAGATTAAACCCGAGGTGAGCTTAGGGCAGGTTTCCAGGGCAGACCTGTAGTGAAACCTGTCAGATAACCTCTGGACAAGCCTCTGGCACCTTGGCAACTGTCGGAATTTTAATCAAGTTACAAAACATTTCCTTTCAACTCAGAAATCAGGCTAGCAGGCACACTAGGTATGTCATTTCTCTACTCATTTGCAGAGTCTGCTGTAAGATGAAGGTGCCTTCGGACTGGTGAAGTCAGATAATGCAAAAGATGAGCAAAACCCAAGACTATTTTGACATCTCCAAATAGTCTGTTCTTTCTCACTGTTTCAGCAAGCAGCTCGTCACAGGGGACCAGCTTCCTGGGGCAGTACGCGACTCCTCACACTCCTGAAATGCAAATGCTAACGGAGCTCCTCCGGCATCCATGGCATCCTATCTTCTCCTGCCCCTGTTAATTGCTGGGGACTGCCATTCTCAGTGCTGCATTTTCCTCCCTGTACTTTCCCATTTTAGGAAACTTTGAGTTTTCAATGCCTCTTTCTCCTACAGTTTTTATCTCTGGCTCTGCAATATTTTTGGAGGAGGTAATGACTTTGCTCCTTTGGAAGTTAATCAGTGCATATCAGGACCCTACAGCAAGGCAGGACAGAGCTGGTATCCTCACAACCACTGCCTTTCACTAGCTTCTCTACCAGTATGAATTTTCTAAGTTTGTTGGTAAGCTGTTCTGGAACATTAAAACCAGAAATTCTCTGGCTGGCTTTCGCCTCCCCACCTACGTACTTGGTACCTCTTTGTGAAGAGATTTTAACATTATCCAAGAGCATGGGCACAGATTTTCAGAGAAGTATGGAATCAAGTGTAATTTAATTAATCCTTCTAAATCTTTCTCCTTTGTGTATGCGTCACTTAAAAAGTCTATTTCAAACATTAGACTCGTATTAATACCAAGGCATGCTAGTAGGTTTTAGCAACAAAACACCTACAAACATACTGAAAATGGCTGTAGTACTATAAAACCCCAAGATGACAGGTGATTTCTGTGCAAGTGAAATAAAATTATCACTTGGTAAGACAGAGAATTATGTCAAACATGGAGCACACTCAGTCACTTACAAAAATTCAAGATTATTATTTCCACAAACATCTGCCTTAAGTACACATACTATGAAAAATGTAACACTAAAAAAGTTCAGTTTTTTTCCTCTAATGATAGCTAACTCAAAGAAGTAAAACAATGCTAGAATTAAACCGATCTAAACTTAAATATATCTTTACTATGACCTTAAGAATATACTCGGTATTTGACAGGCAAGTATAGAAATGACAGTGTATTGCCATCTTGAGGCTTGCTAGCAGAACTGCATGTCCAAATACATACTTTGTTACCAAGCACAACGGTAATTGAGCCAGATGTGCCAAAGCCATTATAAAACACACAGCATTAACACCATATGTTTTATATTTATTTCTAAGCCAGGGCCTCTGCAGTTCCTTTTCTGGATTGGATATACTTTTAACGACAGAAACCCCTTAACAGTAGAACTAAAAAAAGTCGGGAAGAGAATCAAGAATATTCATCTCATTCTTACAAGAACGACAGTTAAAGCTTAATTAGTAATACAAATTTCCCAGATCCTTTGAAATTCATGAAGGAAACTGCATGCTTTCCGGACATTCTGGTGTGGGTTTAAAGGGACAAGAATCACCAAGCTACACTCAAAGGCTGTAGCTATGTACATTGTCCTCGCAAGAACCCACCTTTAAACAAATCTCCGTATCACAAACCTATGCAATGCTCTGGCACTCTGGTCAAACAAACCCTACAAATATCAGATACATAACCAGTCTAATGGCTTTGGCTTTGTTTTCTTTTGGGTTTTTTGTTTGTTTGTTTTTTGCTTGGTCGGTTTGCTGTTTGTTTTGATTTTTTGTAATTAACATCTACTTCAGAAAAGATCACTTGGAAAACGTGTCTGTTGATATTCCCACCCCTGAAACAACATAGGATTTAAGGTCACCTGGGAATTGCCAAGTTGAAACTGAGGAGTGTATGCATGTGTATATATCTATATATATTTGACTGTTATATATGCTTTCAATAGAGGTCAGGGACATCTGATTTTGCTTCTTTTTGAAACTAATTACATCTATGAGGTAACTTACAAAGGGCTAGTGGTTACTAAACCCGCTAAATTTGTTTTTCTTCTCCTCTCTCCTAAACAAGCTGGCCTGTACTCAAAACACACAAACAGCCATTTGAAGGCTGTTGCTTTTACACCCAAGGTGAAGTATGTTTTCCTGAGCTATCCAGTGCTCTTTAAGTGAACAAGAAAAAAGCCTCCTAGAAATTTACCTGCTTGGTTTGCAGGCTGCCAGCCTGAGTACTTGGCAGCACCTGGGGGTCCTGTTGGCTTGAGGCTGGCAGCAGATGTGGTGCTGGCGGGAGCAGGTCTTGTGTCCACGTTTTCTTGGTGGGCAGGCATGTTCCTTGATGAGGAGGCTGTAAAAGCAGCAGGCTGGGCTGCCTCCAGGGAATCACTGTTCAGAAATGAGCAGGAGAAAATAAAATGCATTTCCTACCAGACCAAGAGAATATGTGAATAAGAGATGAAGAGTGACACCCCGGCACCCTGGAGCAACAGAGATGCACTTACTACTCTGCCATCACCAATGCTGGGGTGATCACCCCAGGACAATGCTGGGGAAGTGCATTCTCACTCTTCACC